CCCGCTGCCCCCGGTCCCCGCCTCCCTGAACACCCTGCCCACTGTTCCCACAGCGACACATTCCTGGCTGAGCACCCGATGCTTGCCCTGGACCCCAATGTCACCGGAGTCTTCCTGGGACCCTACCCCTTTGGCATTGACCCTGTGAGTCCTAGCCGCTAGCCATGGGTGCTGCAGGCAAGCGGGAAAGCAGCGTGGTTTTGGGGCAGGAGGCACGGCGCCCCAGACAGACGAGGGGCCTCCTTGTTGGGCCCGCAAAGCAGAGAGGCATGTTGTGGTGATGGCAGCACTTGGTCGCTGTGGAGCCCGCTCTGTGCCGGGTGCTGTTCTGAGCCCTTTATGTGCAATGACTTTATATTTCACCCTCCTGACGACTCCACGAGGAGCCCCCATTTTTACAGACGAGGCAGCTAAGACACGGGATTACGTGCCGAAGGTCACCCAGTTAGGAAGAGCTGGGGTTGGGCCTGGGTTGTCTGTGCTCTTAACCAGTCCCCTCTGCTGCCCCCTGGGGGAGGGCAGGTGACGGATTGTGCTGAGGCCCCAAAGGGAACAAAGAGGTGTGTGAGAGTGACAGGGGCAGGGGGCCCCCTGCATGACACCCGCCCCTCCTGCCACCCCAGGTCTGGAGCCTGGCTGTCAACCACCTGAGCTTCCTGAACTCCTTCAAGATGAAGATGTCTGTCATCCTGGGGGTCACCCACATGGCCTTCGGGGTGGTCCTGGGAGTCTTCAACCACGTGTGAGGGCCTGTGCTTCATGGGCGGGGGTTCGGGGGCCAGCAGGGCCAGGGTGGTCTGGTGACCCGGCCTTCCTCCCGCCCCAGGCACTTTGGCCAGCTGCACCGGCTGCTGCTGGAGACCCTGCCCGAGCTGGTCTTCCTGCTGGGCCTGTTCGGCTACCTGGTCTTCCTGGTTGTTTACAAGTGGCTGCGCGTCTCCGTTACCGGTGCTGCCTCAGCCCCCAGCATCCTCATCCATTTCATCAACATGTTCCTCTTCTCCAGCAGCCCCACCAATCGCCCACTCTTCCCTGGGCAGGTGGGCTGGGCCAGGGGGAGCGGGCTCACATCCATCACGGGGCCCCGTGGTCAGTGGGCCACTCGGAGCTGCAGGCTCCTCATCTGACAACCAGGGATGCAGGCCTGAGGCCATGAGAAGGGGAGGTGCAGGGACAGTGTGAAGCTCCCAGAGCGGGAGGCGCTGTGGGTGCTGGAAGCCTGTGGCCCTTCTCTCCGAGGAGGCCTTGCGGAGCAGTGATCTAGGCGCTGCAGGAGGAGCAGACTGGGCTCCCTGGGCCCCCGTGAGGCGTGTGGCCCAAGCTGGGTGTGCGGCTCACAGGGGACCCTGACGCGAGCACCTTCCCCTGCAGGAGGTGGTACAGGCCACACTGGTGGTGCTGGCTCTGGCCATGGTGCCCATCCTGCTGGTCGGCACGCCCTTGTTCCTGCGCTGGCAGCACCTGAGGAGGAGGAGGCTGCGTGCTGGCCAACAGCTGGTAGAGGCGGGGTGGGGGGGCATGCAGTCGGGGGGCTGTTGGGGAGGTGGGCCACCGCCAGGCTGAGATGCCCCTCCCTTGCTCTCGCGGGCTCCCCAGTGGCTGTGCACGGGTAGTATGGGGCAGTGCGGGCCCCACCTGGGGCTGGGGCCCGCTGATGCCCCCGCCCCACTGTCCCCGTCAGGATGAGGACAAGGCTGGGCTTCTGGACGCGCCCGACGCACCTGTGGCCAACTGGGGCTCTGATGAGGAGAAGGCGGGGTGCTCGGGGGACCAAGAGGAGGCCAAGGTGGGTGTGGTGCCTTTCTGAGTGGGGGCTGGCTGCAGGCCTGGCTTGGCCCTCACTGCTGCCCACTCCGCCCCCACAGTTTGTCCTCTCCGAGGTGCTCATGCACCAGGCCATCCACACTATCGAGTTCTGCCTGGGCTGCATCTCCAACACCGCCTCGTACCTGCGCCTCTGGGCCCTGAGCTTGGCCCATGCCCGTGAGTGACAGGGCCACGGTCAAGTCCTGACTGCCCACCCCCCACCCCCTCCCAGCTGCTGGCTGGGTGGCCTGCGCCGGTCACTTCTCTGGGCCTCAGATCCTGAGTAAAGTGGGGCCATCAGAGGAGGTCCCCTGTTGGTCCCACAGGAAGGGGCCTTCAGGCTGCCTGGGGACTGGGTGGGCACCCCTGGTCTCCACTGCCCCCTTTTTCACCCACAGAGCTATCGGAGGTCCTGTGGGCCATGGTGATGCGTGTGGGCCTTCGCCTGGGCCGAGAGATGGGCGTGGCAGCCGTGGTGCTGGTCCCCATCTTTGCTGCCTTTGCCGTCCTGACCGTGGCCATCCTACTGGTAATGGAGGGGCTCTCGGCCTTCTTACATGCCCTGCGGCTGCACTGGTGAGCTGCTCCCCTGGCTGGTCCGGGCAGCACGGGCAGGGGTGGGGGACCCTCCCCTCACCATCTCTCCCTTCTCACCCCAGGGTGGAGTTCCAGAACAAGTTCTACTCAGGCACTGGCTACAAGCTGAACCCCTTCACCTTCGCTGTGGAAGAGGAATAGCGCCCACCCGTGGCCATGCCCACGGCCCCGGCCCTTAGCTTGCTGCAGCAGGAAAAGAAATAAAGAGGAGGAAGACCCAAGACTGTATCTTGGTCCTGTCTGGAACGCCAGGGGCGGGGGAGGCTGGCGTGGCATCGCCCTGGGCTGCAGGCTGTGAGCCTTTTGGCTTCACGGACCCCCGTGCCAGCCCCTATGCCTGTCTCATACCCAGCTTTGCAGCTGAGGTTGGTGTAGGTTATGGGGGATGGGAGGCACTGGTCTAGGATCTGAGAAGTCAGGGAGGACCCATGAGCACACCTTCAATAATCCGACTCTTGGGGTGAAGGACCAAGAAGGGATGTTTCCAGCACATTCTAGCTCGGGATGAGTGTCTCCCCAGGCTGGGCCAGGCTAAGTGAACTTCCCATCCTTGGTGGTGTGCAAACTGGCTGTAAGCAGACGTTCAGGACACTCTGGGTGTGCAGGGTGGTGCCTGGCGTGAATCGACCAGTATCCCCACTTGCTCATGCTGGCGCTGGCCCCAGGCACTCAGGATTCTCTGAGGCAGAAAGCAGCTTGGGACATGCGAGTCTGACCCAACACTTCACACTGGGGGAGCAGTGGTGTCACACACACCTGAGGCCATTCTGCAGGTGGGCAGAGGCTGTCCAGGACAGCCCCGAGGGTAGAGGGGCCTGTGTCCCCATCACCAGAGGCCACAGCCTCTCGTCTCCCTGGGCGGGCAGTCCTGTTCCGAGGCTGTACTTCAGCTGGTGGGGTGGGGGTGGCACCCTGCAGCTCTTTGTGGCCTGGGTCCGCTCACTGGCTGGGAGGCAGAGCCACCACTTTGCAGAGGCTTTGTTCTCCAGCTGAGGAGCTGCAGTTCTAGCCGGACACCCCAGGAACAAAGGCCACGTTGAGGTCAGGGACGCCCTGGACAGTGAGCTGGGTAGCCTGGCCCCATCACTCTGGCTCTCACCTGGCCAGCTGCTGGGAGGGGCCTGTCCAGTGGGCTGGGGCTACCCTGCTTAGGGTCCCCAGATGCCAGGCTGCATGGCAACCCCACGTGGCTGGCAGGCTTGGCTCTGAAGAATGATGATTAGGTGTCTGGTGAGGAACAGCCGTGTGTGCGACTCAGGTAGGACCTGGTTTGAGCCCAGACCCGAAGACTTACACCTTCCTGGGGAGCAGAGCTGGGCAGAGACCTGCAGGGTGGGGATGGTGACAGAGGGACCCTGAGCCTTGTATGTCATGTGTTTTGAGGAGGCAGGTGTGATCTCGGGAGACGGTGGTCGGCCTGCCTTGGCTGCCACATGGCTGGCTGGCAGGCTGGCTGGAGGTCTGGTTGCTGTGCACTGGAGCAGGCACTCCTGGGGCGTGGAGGTCATCAGGAGACAGGGACGGGTGGGTCACCTACACTGAGGACAGGCCTGATCCTAAGCTCATGGTCTAATGCAGGAGACTGCTGAGTGAACCAGTTAGAATTCACTTATAGAGAATGTGACAGGCCAGGGAGGGGGTGGGGATGGTTTAAGGGACAGCACCGCTTGGGGTGGCATGGCAGCTTTCTGAGCTGACCGTGGAAGGGTGTGAAGGCCCGGCCCCAACACCTCTCAGTGGAGGAATCTGTGACCCAGCCAGGCGTCTTAAGAGGGAGGCTGGGCTAGGCTGGCAGGGCCAGGTGACCACACTCGCCTTGTGGGAACAGGGAGCTGGGCGCTTTAATCTAAGCCAGGGGTCTGCAAACTGCGGCCCGCAAGCCACGTGCGGCTCTTTGGGTACGTTCTGTCTCAAAGACGACCCCTGGAAGAGCCAATCCTGTCCCTCACAACAATTTAAAAATTATTCGAGAGCCGTAAATATATTTTTACATAATCACCATTATGTGAATAATATCCTCTAAAAATTTTACAAATGGAACTATGCTAGTTTTATTTTCATTTTCAATTTTACTTCAGAGCCACACGCTCGCGAGCCGCAGTTTGCTGACCCCTGGCGGCTCCTCTGTCTCAAATGTTTGCCGACCCCTGGTCTAAGCGAGCTCTCACGAAGGACGCAGGATCATTTACTGTTTCTTTGTATTGCTTGGATATCAAAACACATTCACCTGGTTGAACTTTAACTGTCTACAAGGGTGAACAGTGGAAAGTCTCCGTGCTGCCCTGGCCTGCCTGCTGTGTCTCCTCCCCGACGATAGCGTTCCTTCCACGCCCTTCCAGGGGTCTGCAGGCCTGGGACACGCACTGGGGCCTGGCGTCCACACAGGAAGGTGACAGGCACCCTCCCTGAGACTTAGGACATAACCAAGGCTGACAGCTGAGGATGGGTTTTTATTGGGTTGTCAGAAGTCATGATGTATTTTTTCTGTTTTTCGTTGCAAAACTGCGTCATGACTTTTCTGACAACCCAATATTTTTTTGTGTAGGACAATCTCTATGGTAACAGAAATGTATGCATGAAAACAATTCAAATAAGAGTTTAGAGTCAAAAAAAAATTTATTCCAAAGGACATTTAATGTACAGGAATTTCACAGCTATACTCTATCCACGCCCCCACATGCCACATACAGGCTGCATTTCCCACCAGAACGACCACATCAGGGGCATCAGGGAGCAGTGAGGGCAGGGACAGCTGTCAGAGCCCAGGCTGGATGCCAAGGGCAGCAGGTGGCTCCTGAGGGTCCGTGGCGCTGCCAGCCCTGTCACAGGACCCCAGTTCCAGGTTGAGGAGAGTCGTGGAGAAAAGGCCGAGTGGGGGACAGAACAGCCTGCTCCCTGCGGGGAAGGCAGATGGGGGTGGGGGGGCGGTGTGAGCACGTCCCCCCGCTGCCCCTTGTCCAGCCATGGGCCCTCTGTGGCCGCGGCTCACTGTCTGCCCAAAGGCGGGGCTGACAGCACATTCAGTTCCCAGAAGGCGCAGCAGAGGCTGCATCCCCTTAGGGAAGCTTCGTCAGTATCACAATAGGCTCAGCAGGTCCCGAGGAGCCACAGCAGCTCCCACCCACCGGCTCGCAGTGCCAGGCACAGCCTGCTGCCTCCAGCATCAGCCACCAGGACCATAAGGATGAAGGAGCAGCTTCTGGAGATGCGCAGGCAGGTTGCTGAGCAACGTCCCAGTCTGTCCTGTCAATCGCCCCCCTCGGAGGTGAGCCGTGTCTACATACTGTTACCTACAGAGAGACTGGTGCAGTGCTCACCAGCAGGGTAATCAAAATCCTGTAAAAAATCAACGTTAACCCAAAAACGCACCTGCGGTAACACCGTTGACTCTTGCTGTTTTGCCCTGTCTCACGGAAAGCTGCAGGCCCCAGAAATGAAATGCCCACTAGGTTAAAAGGAATCCGAGATATTGCACTATCGTACTAGATTTCTGCTGCCCGGTCTCATTTCAGAGTCCTAGTAAAATCGTAAACAGGATATGGAATAAATGTTACTCAATTTTAATACAGTCTTTCATATACACGTCTGTGTGCGGCAGCAACACCCCAGCCTTCCTGCAGCGGTCGGAGCACAGGGGGACGGAGCAGAGGGGCCCACAGGCTCGGCCGCCCCACGCAGTCCAGGGATGAAGTGTATGACGTCATCCCCACAGTCACACCCCCAGCTTCCTCTTCTGGTCGAAATAGGCATCAAACCTTGCTTGGGCGTAGTCCTAGGAGACATAATCAAGAGTGGTCTCACCAATGGCCCCTGCCAGCCCCACCAGCACCCGGGTTCCACCCAGGCCACGGACAGCTCGGCACAGAATAGCTGCGTCTGCAACAGGCCGTCCAGGAGCCCGACTGCTCTAAAGACGGTCTCCTCACGCTGTGTTCTCAGCGGGTTCACCGCCATTGCCTCATCTTAAAGGTACCCTGCCTGGTCACCCGACTGGCCTGGCCCTGCCAACCCAAATGGGACTTCTGTTTAGCGCTGCTATGGCTCCATCCCATTTGCCCTGCAGTGCTGCAGACACCGAATGGCAGACATAACAAAGGCTCCTCTCTGAAAGCAAGAAAGGTCCTAGGGTGCTGCTAGCAAGCCGAGAACAAAGAAGTCTATTTTGTCTTACAGTATCATTTGACCCTGACTCCAAATGTGCATGAGAAATCCAAGCCTGCCCTTCGCCTCTTGTCTAGTCCCACTGATGTGTTACCAAAGCCCCTGCCTAGAAGCAGAGGTAATCCTAACACAGGACTGAGGAGGAAAAGTGAACCAGTCTTCCCACCACCTGTCCCAAAGGTGCCTGCTCCAGACTTCTGTGCGCCCCACCCCGGGCACCCCACCGACACAGAGCAGCAGAAGGCTCAGCTAAAGGGCCACAACAGTGTCTCTATGTCAAGGCCAGTTCTTAAGGTTAGAACAAGGTGACAGCCTGGCTTGGTACACACCTGCCTACAACAAATCGGGTGGTGTCTAATTCAGTAGGCGCGAGCTTCCCACTCTAAGTCGGGTGCTGCGGGCCGAAAATGGGGTGGTGACAGGTGGGTTGAATGCTTGCAGGCACCTGCAGGCACCTCCACACTCCTACACTGTGTCAGGATGGTGGTCAGGGAAGGTGGGGCCTGCTGGCCCCGGGAGTGAGACCTCCCCAAAGGCAGACACAGCATCAGTGCCAGCGGCTTAAATTACGCAGCCTCTCCTGCAGCTGCTCAGGCTGAGCCCACTGTCTGGAGCCAGGTCACCTGGCTCAGGGCACTGGGGAGCCTATGTAAGGACAAATCATTTACCGCCAAGTATTCATACACACTAGCATTTTTTTCCCCTGGGAGAAGAAAAAAACGACCCCCAAAACATACCATGTACCCAAATTCAATGGATGAAATCTTGGCCTGTATGATGGACCAAAGTCCCCAGAAGAAATGGGACGCAAGGGCAAACCTGTAATGACAAAAGCAGAAAACGCACATGAGAGGTGGCACCAGTCAGGGAACAGTTGAGGTCACTTCGCCAGACAGACATTCTAACTCACTGACATGGATGCAAACCGTGCGCCCCGGCAAACTCAGTGGGACTATCTTCCACAGCAGCGGAGGACAGTGGGAGTGCCACAGCCATCTGCTCCCCACCTTGGCTGGTGGCAGGGGACTTGCAGGTGTGAACACGCCCAACTGCCTGCGCCTGGCACACGTAACTACCCCCAAGGACTCACATGGAGACCTCGGTGGCCACGCAGGCAGACCATGGGCGACAGAATAAGCAAGCCCTGAGCGCATGGCATCAGCAACCCTGCCCACGTTACCCAGCAGGAGGGGCAACGAGGCGTCTGGTGAGTCGCTGCCTTTCCCAGGAGGTAGGAGGACACCCTCGCCCTCACCCCATCCCCTCCTCTCACACAAGAGTGAAACCAACTACAGAAGAGTGTGAGCCAGGTCCCCACTTCTAGGTGAATGTCACTGTGAACCCAAGTTCTCCTCACATCAATACCTCTGGCTTCATGCGCATGAAGATAAGCCTCTAATTCCAGGATGAACGTGCTGGTATCCTCGCCAAACCCGACTGTTTTCCTGCGGTCCCGGACCCTCTGCGGTCCCTTGGTGCTAGCCTTTCTGTCTGGGTCTGTCTCCCCCACCTCCCCCTTTCCTATTTCCATCTGTTCAAGAACCAGAAAGGGGCGATCTACGCTGCAGGTGGAGCCCAGGAGGAGAGGCAGGGGGTGGACACTTCTGGAGACCGCGACGAGGTTATCTGTGGTTAGTGGGGCGGACAGACGAGGTGGGCCGAAGTGACTTCAACAGTCATTTTTACCCAAGACTCTTCTTGGAGACTCCAAAGAATGGGAATAAGTCAGTTTAGCCTCTTGACTAAAGAGATGAGTGAGTGTGGTCTAGACAGTGGTCTAGACCTTGGTGGAATCTGAAAGCTTCCCAGCCTTGCTTTGAGAGCTGATGAAAAAATAGTTAAAAGCAAGACTCAGAACAACACACACCATTTTTTATTATTTTCTAGAAGCCTATTATTAGATGGCGCCCACCATTCCATGGGCATCAGAGATAAGAGTGTCCCAGCCCTGGGTGGCAGCAGCCTCGCACAGCTGAGTCTGCCACGTGGATCGGAGTTGGGAACTCTGTCCACACGTCCTGCCCTCCCTGTGTGCAGCCCCTGCTTGAACCTGAAAGACCTGCACACACTTGGCCATACGGGGAAGTACCCAACATTCTGTTTCTGACAAAGACAAGTCGTAGAGAAGTACGGTTACAAAGGAGCACCTCACAGTCAGGGCACCCCAATGACACCCCGCACGGAGGTAAGCCGCCTTTACAGATCAACAAAGGACACTTACCTATTGATTTCGACCAACATTTCTTCTTCTATAATGGCCTTTTCTTCACTGCTGAGGTTTTCAAATTCATTTGGGAATGCAGCCAAGTAATTGGAAATAAAATGGAGCTAAAAAAAAAAGAATAATTCTGTTAGGATCCCGTTAGAAACAGACGACGTCAACAGCTGTCATCTAATAATAGGCTTTCTGCCCCTACTGAGGTAATCTGATACAGCAGCACACACAGGGAGGTCCCGTCAGAGGAGCCTGGAGGAGGCCTGGCAGAGCCCACCCTGCTGCTTGGCCCAGGTGTGGGGAACTCGGACGTCCACCTCAGGCAGCAGTGATCACGAGTTACAGGCAGACTGTTTTCTAATGGACTCGACACCGTACTGTTGACAAGACGGTATAGGAAACACTGCTGCTTCTCGAGAAAGTAATTCAGTGGAATCCGTATTCTCTAATCTAACCCACTCATGCTTTCTGGCGTCTGATCTTAAAGCAGGGTGAAGCCTACACCAAACCTTCCCCAGGGTGGCTGGCGCCCACCAGGCATGAGGCCCGAGGTATCCTGATGTTCCCTCAGTGTGAGAGCTGGACCAGACCCCGAGGGGGCTCCCGCCTCTAAGATGCTGCGATTATTTACACCTATGTTTGGGAAGTGGCAACGTCTAATTTTGGTTTGGAGAAGAGACAATTTACCTAAGGTGGTCCCAGGTTGCACGTTTAGTCTGCATGTCAATTAGGATTTATGAAATCCTGGTTCTTGACACTATCAAAAGGCAACAGAGCACACGAACCACTGACACATTCTTTTATACACAAGAAAACAGCTGTCAGTCACCCTTCCCTGGAAGAAACCTCACTAATGCGTTACCTAGTTGGAATGCCAACACTTTTTCCTCTTCCACCTTTCCCTGTACCACCTCTGCCCTCTTCCTTCTCTAAAATCAGCTTTCATACGCTCCACCACCCGAAAGCATCATTCAAGTTCAAGCACTGTCCTAGGGGAGAGCCCCTGGAAGGGGCCTGATATTCTGAAGGAAACCCGGCACAGGAAAGATGACCGCTGACATCTATTAAATTCTATGGAACAGGCACGTTCTGAGCTCTGATTTCTGCATCTTGACTCACTCCTCACAACAAAACAATTTTTGCAGATGGGGACAGCAATGCACAGAAGCATTCAGTGGGTGACAGCCAGCCGTGGCAGATTTAGGATTCAAACCCGGCAGACTGTTTTTTAAAACCATGCTTGAACCACCATACTTGGAGGGTTAATTTCTGGGGGATGCTAAATGCTGAAACTGAAAAACGGAGACAGAAAACTTAACCGACACCCTAATAAAACAGTAATTAATGACGCTTCCTCCAAAAAAATTCTAGGCTCAGACTCTTTTACAGGCAAGGTCTATCAAACTTTCAAAGAACAGATGTCCTTCATCGTATATAAATTTGTTCCAGAAAAAAGGGTGATTCAACTCATTTTATAATACCAGTATAACTTTGATTCCGAGAGCAGATGTAATGATTTTTAAAATGAACATTAAAGGCCCATTCCACATGTGCATAGACAGGGAACTCCTAAGGTAAGACACTGTCTAACACAGCAGTTCTCAACCTGTGGGTCGCAACCCCTTTGGGGGTCAAACGACCCTTTCACAGGGGTCGCCTAAGACCATCGGAAAACAAAAAGATATTTACATTACGATTCATAACAGTAGCAATTACAGTTATAGAGTAGCAACGAAAATAATTTTATGGTTGGGGGTCACCACAACATGAGGAACTGTATTAAGGGGTCGCGGCATTAGGAAGGTTGAGAACCGCTGGTCTAACAGGACCCAGCAGAGCATTACAAATAACACACCTCATTCCAATAGTTTATGGCCAGACACAGCTAGCTAACGGGCAACAGAGCCAAGATGGGAGCCTCAGTGGGGAGACTCGAGCCCACGCTCTTAACCTTGGCGGTGACGTCACCACCTGGGTGAAGTGTGATGGAAAGTGAATCCTGAGGCACAGCAGACAGAGGAATATGAGAATACTGGTGGTTTTCGGTCTTGACTGGGTGCTAGAACCATCTGGAAGCAGGATGAAATGTACATTCCTAATCCCTCACACTAGAAAAACCCAGTAGAGGGGGGCCTGCCATCTCTGTCACAGTTTCTCTGATGACCCTGATGCCTGACTTGGGGTTTTGAGGGATCTCACCTCTTCCCGGAATCCATGCCTCTGTCCCAGCGGGCTCTAGGCTGGAATCCAAACCACTCTGAACATGGTTAGGAATGGTTGTGAAGCACATCAACAAAGGCTGGTTTCAAACCCTGACCCGGCCATGAACCAGCTGTGTGACTTTGGGCAGACGACTTCACTTTTCAAAGCCTCAGTTTCCTCAGCTTAAAAATGGGGGCTAATTATGGTGCCCTTAAGGGGGTGCTGAGGGATAAAAGGGTTAAAGGCTCTAAGGGGAAGGAACAGCAGAGTAGCCTGGTCAGAATAACCCTCCCTCAGAATAAAATTATAAAATCTGAACAAAATATATATCGAATAGTTTACTGCCGAAATTCCAAGATGGTTTAACATTTAAAAACATCTCACTAATGGATTAAAGAGAGAAAAGCATAATAAACTTTACGCATTTACTGAGGTAACCAGATAAAGAGCAACACCTCTATGTGACTGTTAAAACCTCCCAGAAAACAGGAATAGAATTTTGTTCTGTTACTGTGCTGAGCAGCACTGGTGGCTACACAGCTCTGCCTCCCATTAAGATGTAATCTACCTTCTTATCACAAATCTCCCCTCACTGGTTTGAGAGCTCTCACCTCTAGAGCTGCCCAGTTTTTCCAGAAGCCTAATTTCTCCTCAGCATGGCAAGAGCTCTAACACCTGAGGGCTGCTGGGTGCTCTCCCTTCCCCAAGCTAAGCAGCCCCACCTTCTCCTACCCTTCCTTCTCACACAGCATGACCCTGAGGTCCAGAACCATCCTGGACACTGGACATGCCCAAGTTCAGTCAGCCTTAATATGTGGCCAGAAGAGAACGCGGTTCTGGGCCCATGGCAAGTCTGCATTTGAATGGCTGCCCCTGGAGTGTGGGCCGCCCCTGTGCCCGGCTCAGGAAACATCTGCCAAGGGAGCTCCAGCGGAGCTCAAGGCACCTGTCCTCAGCCCCTAGCGCTGGGAAGGCTCCAGGTAGGGTGTGCCAGGAGGGAGGGCAGGAGGTGCCGTCCGCCCGCTCAGCACAGGCTGGGACAGGCAGACTTGGAGTGCTGTCCCCCAGCTCTGCAGCTTCCACACTGCTACCTGCTCATCTGCAACCCAGGCTTCCAGGGCGGGCTGAGGGATGGGACACAGGGGTGAGGGGTTCCCAAGAGGGGTCCCCAGGAGGCAGCTCCCACAGTCCCTGGTCTCCCAGCTCAGGGCAGGAAGGAGAACTGTTCACCCCACCAATGGCTACTAGAACACGGTACCCCAAAGATTACTTCCCTCTGCACAGCATCAAACAGGCAAGTCAGTGATCCCCAAAAAGGCGGCCAGAAAGCAGAATGGAGGCTGGGCTTTCTAGAAAGAATTAGAAAGAACTACAAAGGGGGCTGTGCTCCTCTCTGACTGAATGCACGTATCTCCGGCACAGATTAAAAACAGCTGGACCCAAGTGTCAAGTTTGTGTCTACATCTAATGGAAAAAACATTTAAAGCAAAGGGTTTATCCCTCAATTTCAGATGCACAAAAGAAGCTGAGAAACTCTTATTCTGCAGAGCATCTGAGATCTTATTCCCTGGCATAGAGTGTCAGTTTGAGTCACATAAACTCTTATAAAAATTAAAAAGTAAGTAAAATTAAGCAAGAGGGTTTGCCTGACCATTACAGTTTACAAGGGGCATCTCTGAAAATGAAGATGTAATCAATACTAACGGCATAAGACTGATTTATGTGATGTACCTACTAGCAGAAATCTACACACCAGCCTCTCCTACCTGTTGTTTCTTGGTGGGGTACTTGAGGATGTTTGCTCTGAAAAAAGGGTACTTTTCATAGTTGTAATCATACATCCACTCACAGAAGTGATTGCCAATGTCGAATCCCCTGAAAGAGAGAAAGGGGTGCAGAGAATGAGGCGAGCTGCCCACCCCGGGGCCGTTACGGGAGGAAAAGGCTGTGAGCATCCCTCCTGGCACCAAGCTGGACGTCCCGAGAGTACGACTGCTTCAGTCACAGGCAAAGCCAATGGGCTGTTACCAGAACCACAGCCGTTGGAAGCCACAAAGTGGCACCTGACCCCGCTGCTCAAAAGCAATTGTTCCAGAGCATTCTCCTGCAGTTCGTACTGTGATGAAAGGAAATTACCTGTGAGCCAAAAGAAAATACCAAATTTCAGCTGGCAGAGTGGCTCTGTTGGTTAAGAGCACGAGCTCTGAGCAACAGGGTTGCCGGTTCGATTCCCACATGGGCCAGAGAGCTGCGCCCGAGCTGAGTTGCCAACAGGTGGCAGGATGGCTCAGCTGGTGAGAGCACGTGCTCCTAATAACAAGGTTGCCGGTTTGACTCCCACATGGGATGGTGGGCTGCTGAGCTTCTGTCGGGCGGCTGGATGGTGACTGGACTTGGAGCTGAGCTAGCTGCGCCCTCCACAACTAAGACTGAAGAACAACAACTTGGCTGTTCCCCTTCCCCAATTCCCCAATAAAATCTTTAAAAACAAAAACAAAACCAAAATTCTGGATTCTGATCACTCACATCACTGCTCCCTCTCGCACAGCTGGCTGAGGACAGGCTGTACTGCGGCCACTGCGGGCACCGCGACAAGGAGTGCTGGCTTCCAGAAGGAACTTCCAGCTTCGAACGAACGTTACCTACTTTCCCTATAACAGTCCCGTGCACGCGCTACATTAATCAAATGGCAGGGCGATGGAAAGCCCTGCTGAGACATACCTGTAATTGTAGCTGCTGTACTCAAAGTCAATGAGCATGAGCTTCTGCCCGTCAGAATCTTCTTTCCCTTCCAGCAACAGGATGTTACCTGCAGGAGGATTTGCACGTGACTTTCACCGGGCTTGCTTTAGAACCGAACGCACAAGCCCTCCCAGCACAGCGACAGTGCTCCTGACCCTCTCAGGGACCCTGACCACGCAGCGAGTGACGCCTGCGGCCACGGGATGGCGCCGGGAGGCCCTGGGCTCACTGGGGAATGAGAAGGGACTGGCTCTGCTTTGGTTTTCTGGGGCAGTGCTCCCCAGTCTTTCATGGGGCATGAAGGAAAATGCCAATTTGGCACTCAGGGGCTCTGGCCACCCCAAGATCCCTGGGCGTCCTCCCAAAGAGATGCAGGGGGGTGGGGGGCTCAGCTACCACAGGGCTCCGGGAACCACACGGCCAGCCGCACCATTTTGCCCTCGCTTGATTTTCTCCCCAAGGAGGCGGCCACAGGCAGCGTCCCTACGACCGCGCTTCCTCCAGGGCTGAATTCTGGGGCACGAGTGGGCTGGCTGCCACGCCAGCTCTGAGAACCAGCCCCCTCCCCACAAGTCCCCAGAGGCTGGCAGGCAGCACCTGTGAGCCAACCCATTGGCCATGCCCTCTCCAGGGTTTCTGCGGGAGGCAGAGTTTCTAGGCTTTTCCACATACACCTGTGTCCAGTGGCCATGAGAGGAGAAGTGGGGGCGGAGGCCCACAGCAGCAGAACAAGGTAAATGCACATCTCCCACCTCTTCCGTCCTCTCCACACCTGCCCCCGACCTCCCTCCCACCCTGTCTGGTGATGTGACAACAAACTGCCTGACGTGTCTACACCTGCTTGCCTGGACCCAGCCGGCGACGATCAGCTAACTAGTAAGAAGTGCTTTGGCTCAATCTCAGGTCTCACTGATGGCTGGTCTTCAACAGGGACTGTTCTCAAAATTAAAACAAACTGTAGAGCCTGGCAAGGGGCCTGGCGGTGGACGTCAGCGGGCTGTGATGGGGGGAGGAGGACAATAGGCGTCGCCAGGACGTGGCCAGGCACCCCAGTGGCAGCGGCAATAGCTACCCGGATAGATGGGAGGCCTCTGGTTAAACTGTTGTCTGAAATCACGTTGGGTAAAGTGTGGTTACAGTAAGGGCCTACGACACCGGGATTTATTGAAGCAGAGAAACTACAAGTCATTAACAGCACGTGAAACGAGTGAAGGAGGTGGCTCGGGGCAGAAGGCAGGGCCCCAGGACTGATGGAGGCGCCCGTCCTGTCCTTTTACTGCTTTTCAGAGTAACAAAGTCAGAAACATTTACAGAAAAGAGTGAAACACTCAACAAACACGTGATTTAGAAAGTTTAAGGCCTTCATCCCAGCTCCCAGTTTATTGAATATTCTGATTTTTTTCTATGAATATATTTTTTGTAGAAATGGGATGATACCCTACATGTTTTTCTAAAACTTGCTTTTTTCTTTTAAAACATTCTGGAGAGGTTTCTGGTGGTCTGTATAAAACTCGGCCTTTCTTTTTAATAGTTACGCAGCACTCTTTTGCCTGGCTGTGCTGTCATTTAGCGCCTCCAATCCTCGCTTCCCGGACCCCTGGCATCCACACACACCGGAGGCAAGCTTTTAAGCACACACACACACACATAACAGGTGGCAACTCTTACCTTCTTGACAGTCGTTATGACAAAACACAACTGGAGATGGAGTGGATTCAAGCAATGATCTGGAAAAGGAAGGTGTTATTATAAACTTCTAAGAAGTTCAATGCAAACAGTGTAGCTTTCTCATCAAGCTTAGCACTACATTCACGCCCCAAACCAGCACCAGCCTCTGGGAAGTGCTTGTCACGTGAATTATCAACTGTCGTCTGTGGGGACAGCTCTACAGCAGCTCACACCGGAGACACCCACAGGCCCCCAGTCAAGCAGGCAGGACCTGCGTCCATGCCTTCCTCTCCTGGAGGACCTCCTCACACAGCTGCTGGCCTGAGCCTGCAGTCCCTCCTCAGAGAGCCTGTCTGACCACTGACCAGAGCAGGTCCTTCAGGGTCAGTCTATGCTGGCCTCTGGTTTCCTTCACAGCACTAATCACAACTTAACATTTAAAAAATCTGTTAACTTGTTTTCTGTCTCTCTTTATAAAACAGAAGCTCCTTGAAGAATGTCTTGGTCACCCTTCCCTCAGCACCAATCATGAGCCCCGGCCCGGTAGAAACTCAAATACTGAGTAATTCAAGGTGTAAACACGCCCCCTTAGGGGGTGCATGCTAGGAGCCAGCACCCCCCCCACACCGAAGACACCATGGCGGTCTACTCAGAGGCTGGCATCAAGCTTCTTACTCCTTTTCCCACAGAGCTTGGGCTAAACTGTTCCCCTCATTGGCTGACACTACCCATTCCGCAGCCCACCCCCCCCCACCCCCCCGTGGTTTGTTGTTTCGGTTTTGTTTCAGGAAAAGCCTATTGTCCGAGTTGCTAGCCATTCCTGTGGAATCTCACTTCCGCCATGAAGCCTTCGTGGATGGCCAGAGAGTAACAGCACTCGTATAAAACTATAATTTCAGATGACAAAATTAATCGGTTTCAACTCATCCTGCAAAACCAATGTCAAGGCCACACCTGAGGCAATCCTTAACAAATGGTCACTGATGACTGTTTCAGTGACTAAGGATATTTAAACCTCTGGACAGATGTGCTTACTAGGCCAGGAACGGAAGCCAATGCTCACCTCAGGTTCTCCAGTTCCAAAGGCAGGTTGTAACTGAGAAATCTGTGCAGCTGCTTCATCCGAGTTTCTCCGGTAAACTTAATTCTCAGCACTTGATTTAGGTACCTTGCAAAAAAAAAAAAAAAAAAAAGGAGAACAAAAAGTCTTGCTCAATTCACCGCAGCTCGTCCTTGGGGCTCTAGTTAATGTAACCATGCAATACCAGGGGAACCCCAATCTCCAAGGCGGGGGGTTGGGGGGGAGGGCACAGGGTTCAAGGCACTCTAGGAAGACTTCCTGCCCATCCACCCGTGCAGTAGCATTTCTGCAAACAAGTCTTTCCTGGTTCAGGAAGTGATTTTCACATGGAAGAAAGACTCAGTCATGAGGCAAGCATCACCCACCGATAGCCTGCACACCAGAAGAGGAGACCAAAGGAAGACCTCCAACCCACATGGCATACCAGTGCTCACCTCTGGGAGCTGCCCCTGGAAAGCTACGTTATAGCCAAGTGATTTGACCACTTACTTTTCCATTGTTCCAAAAAGCCATTTTGGTTCCTTATTGAATGGCATTTTCATACCATGAAATGTGGCCATTTTCTCAGCTATTTCTGCAGAAATATCTGGCACACTTAATTCTTCCGTGTCTAATCGCCGGCTCTGAAATAAAAAAGGGCATTAGAAAATGGCATTTAACTAAGTAACACAAGAAGTGTGAGCACACACAATCCTAAGAACCAGAAGCCAGGTTCTTCTGCGGGGCACCTGTCTCAGCCAAGGCACAAAATCCCCTTAAGAATGGGCACTTTGCCTGAAAATGGTGGCCCGACAATTGCTTCGGCACCTCTCAGTGATGGGCAGATCACCTCGAAAGGTTGATTTCACTTTGAACCCTTTTAATTGAGAGAAAGGCCTTCTCACATATAATCTTGCTTTTCCCTCTGCTCACTCTGCCTAACACTAAAAGCATGCTCGCCTCCCCAGGCTAAAAACCCCAGGTCTTCAGCAGATTATTAAGCGTCTCGCTCCTTCATCAGGTTGGACATCCCACTCCGACATTCGTGGGTGAGATGTGGTGTTTAGAGCAAGTGCTCATCAGAAGCAGTGCCATGAGCTCAGGTGAGCCATGTCCCACTGTTCACGGTGTCCCCAGCATCTAGTGTGGCACAGAGCAGGCTCTCAAGAAAGAAACAGCGGTGCCCCTCCCCCCCAAGTGGGACTTACTCCCAGCTTCCTAAGGCAGACTGAGGCTACGCTGTGTTGGTTGCCCTGCCTCAGCCACTCACGGGGAGTTCACAGACAGCTAAGACCTTCTATCCTTCCCACACGAACCGCTCTCTCCCGACACCCAGAAACGTTTTTCTGACAATCTGAAGTGATACAGCACCGGGGTTAGAAGTCAGTGTCCCCGAGCTAGAGAAACCCCAGCTCAAATTCTGGCTTCCATACTCATTTCAAAGATACACGATCAAGGACGCATTACTTTCACCTCTGGGCCTTGTTTCCCGGGGTCTGCGACATGTGAACCATGACATGAAGTCCCTGACAGGGCTGCTCTGAACTAGAACAGGCAACGCAGGCGAAGGCACCTAGCCAAGGACGTCTTGACAAGGGACAAAAGCAGCAGGAGCCTTATGGGTGGAGCTGAGAGCTCAATGAAAGCATCAGAGTCAGTCTTGTCAACTCTGGAACCCTCCACAAATGACCACACTGCGCTAAAGACAGGGCGCTCGGCGGCCAGCAGGACACCGAGAGCTTCCTAACAGCTTGCACAGAGCTGTTAAAAATGTCCGTGATGTGTTTGGCAACATGCAAAGTTCACAGCTAACATGCTCAAAGATGAACAAGCTCAGGGAAAATTATAAATAAAAGCAGGGCCAGATGCCAAGACAAGTGCCACTGAAGACAGTGAAAGTAAACTCTGGCACAGGGAGAGTGCCCCCACTAGTTTACGCACACCCCCCAGGATGGCAGCTGGCACACATGGCCCCTGCCCCAGCTGCAGGATTGGACAAAGGAACCCCCCTTCCTGCTGCCCCCAGCTGGACACAGGGTAAGTCCTGGGAAGCAGGGCCTCTCCTCAGCCAGGTGTCCTTGTGCTCAGCGTCACCTGCAGAAGCGTGGCAGGTGGCCAAGATACCACATGAGGCAGGGCATGGAAAGGCAGCCATTTGTGGCCCTCATCCTTAGGGAGCTCACGCGGGCTAGGAGGGGGAACCCTTCACCACATATCTGCGGACCTGGCTGTGAGCAGCAACACAGGCCAGCAAGGTTCAGCATCTGCACCCAGCTGAGCTGTGACCACGTTCACTGCAACGGCAGCCTCCTGAGGCCCCAGGCCCTCGATGGGGAAGGAGAGAGGGCTGGACTGCATACATGTAACTCCAAACAAGACGGGCTGGAAGATGTTACAGCTACATGAAAAATGCCTCAGGACAACAAGAAAGAAAAAACAACCCTGACCCAGAAACAAGAGGGTTGAAGTGAGGCCTTGAAATGTGCGAGTTCGAAGAACTTGATGGGCACGTGGAGACAGGAGAGCCAAACAGAGGGAAGACAACGGCAGACAAAGCAAAGAAACATGGTGGCCCCACAGGGCGAAGAGGAGATGTGGCTGTGTACGCAGGGCCCGGTGTTGTGCAGTGAGCTCTGTCAGGAGGCCCAGAAGGTGAGAGGAACAGGTGACTTCAGGGCAAGCAGCTGTGGGGGCCAATGGATGTTAAGGCTCAAACATTTTTGATTTGGAGGAATATATCTTTGCAGGAAAGTCAGAGGTTCTGAGGTAACTTCAATAGAAAATTGGTTTTATTTCTGATGCAGTTTAATGATACAGCTCACAGTCACTATTTCAGACCCCAGCATCTCAGGCTCTGGCAGCCACAAGACAGACTCCATCTTCTGTCTGTGGCACACAACTGCCCAGGGGCGAACACATCTTACCGGGATAAACTGCTCCAGGCGGCCTTGCGGGAAGATGCCGTACAGCTTGGGCCCCAGCGACCGCTCTGCAAGGATGGCAAACATAACACTCTCCAGGACCATGGCCTCGGCCCCCTGAAACAGACAGTAATGACGCAGACATTACTGGTGCTGCCTGCGTCCCAGGCGTCAGTCAGCGTGCTTTCCCACGACCGGTTCCTCTAACCCCACACCAACGCTACGATCAGGCCTTCTTCTTCTCGTCCCCATTTCAAGTATGAAGAAACACAGGTTAACAGATCTTGTAATCTGCAGGGTCCATGCTTGCAAGCGTCACACTATATAGATAAGACTTAAAATTCACGTTTAATTTAGGTCACTGATTCCAAAAGTAGAATGTCAATACATTACTGCTTCTATTAATTTTATAACTTGTATGAGTCTCTCTTGGCTCTTATCAAAGGCAATACCTAGCCACTCTGGTGAGGGCAGACTTGCTTTTCGGTGGACAGTGCTGAGTGAGTGGGCCAAAGGGCCTTCTGCCCACTGGACTGGTCTGTGGGTATAAGAAGTTGGGGAACTACTGATTTAGATCTTGGCGGGGGTGGGGGTGAGGGTAGGGGGTAGTGTCTATGTTTTCTGGCCCAAAGAGCACCCTAGCATGGAGCATTCTAGGTTTCTATATTCTGCTCTTATCCCCAATCTTGTCCTCCATCATTTAATGTTTGTTCTTGTCAAAACCTCTATGATGCTCTTACGTTCTGTCTTCTGTCCTAAAAATAAATGTGGATCTATAATCATTTTGCCTTCAAAACCCATCTTTTGGTCTTAATTCAAATGCATTCCTTAGTCATTTTTCCTTAAACAGCAAATTATAGCTTAAGAGTTTCCATCTGTTGGGGTGAAGGAATGGGAAGGAGCCGTTCTTAACCAGAGGTACCCCTGAATCTCTTCCAGAGCTTTCCAAATGCAGTTCCTACATGGATGTGTCTGAGGAGGGGCCAGCACGCGTGCTCTGAAAATGCTTTCAGGGATTCTAATTCACCTTGTTAAGAAATGTGCTGTGGGGAATATGATCCGGAAAGACCTTGTTCAAAATAAACGGAGCTCTTTAAATCACATCCACATTATAAAACATGAACTGACAGACTCAGCAGGACAAACTCCCAGGCGATGGCATGCACTCAAGTCAGTAAGAGGAGACAGAGAAAAAAGAAAAGCCACTTGCAAAGGATAGGGGATCACGTTAAAGTAAAAAGTAACTCAGTCACTCTTAAATTGTGTTGGGGAGTGGATTTGTTGGTAATCCCCCACAATTATGGGCTAACCATCACCTTGTGAGGCCCAATCTTTATTTACTAATTTGCAGTTTTGTACTGCTGTGAACAAAACCGTGTCCTCAAATTCCTACGCTGCAGCCCTAACCACCCCCGCTCCCCCAGCCTCCCTGTGCGATGGTCCTTGGAGGTGGGGCCTTCGGGAGGTGACTGGGTTTAGATGCAGTCAGGAGGGTGGGCCCTATAGGATCTGTGTCCTTATGAGAGACGACACCAGAGAGCTTGTGCGCTCTCTCCTGCTGTGCCACGTGAGGACGCAGCAAGATGCTGTATGCAAGCCAGCAAGAGTGCTCTCCCAGAACACGCAGGCAGGCCCCCTGACCTCACCCGGCCTCCCAAACTGCAATAAATCAGTGTCTGTGGTTTATGCCCCCCGGAGATGTTACAGCAGCCGGAGCAGACTAAGACAATGACAATGCGGACATGGCATTGATCTATCAAATGAATGGATTTTAGAGCAGGATTTGATGTCAGGCAGGTTTTATTTCTTAAACCCTTACAGAATGACAACAAATTCCTGACATTTCTATTCAGCTGGCAAAATGTTTTCTTTCATTTACTCATCTGACCTGACAGCAAACCTGTGCGGAGGTGCGGTCATTGCTGGCTTCCCATTTTACCTCAAGTCCAGTGTCAGAGACGCCCTATGGGAGTGTGACCCAGGGGTCTGCACTTGGACACCTGATCTGCTACCTGGAGCAGCTCAGCTTGTGAGGCCCTGCCCTACATGGAATGCGAAGGGAGTGCGAAGGGAGTGCGGCGGCAGTGCAGGACGAGGGAGCTGAACTTGGCCCCCAGACCAGGCAGTCTGCCATGGGTAGCTCTTCGCCATCTGTACAATCTCCCACCTCAAAATTCCAACGCATTCCCCAATGGTTCCCAAATAGTATGATTAGGATTTCTTCTGCCGAGGTATCAGAATTTTGTTGGGATTAAATTTTGTTTTTAATTTTCCACTGTGTGGAGTGACTACACTAAAGGGATTAAGGTTGGCACCATATAAAACACATACATGCATCCAATCTAAATACCCCTTAACGTCTAAAGTTTCAAATTTTATAAATAGATTTAAACCCCACTTCATTATTTCAGGAAGCATTTTTGCACATGGTGTCCACACAGCACAAAGGCTACTGGGAGCTGACTGCAGCTGAGCACACACTGTCCAGAACCCTTCAGAGCGGAGTCCACCCACCTCCAGGAATGGGGGAGGGAAGAGGGGTGGGAGACTCAGCAAGGTTCTACTCTCTACAGCATTGCTCTGAACACTGCAAACAAGAAACACCTTTGTTCTTATGTGATACCGCAGCTCAATCTTAATTCACAATAGGGAGAAAGGGGGGATGCTGTATGGAGGGAAGAATGTAGAAAGGAAAAAAATGAAAGAAAACACTAAATCACACACAAGAAATATGGGCAGATTAAGAAGTAAAACAGGTAATCCTAGAATGAGTGGTTCAGTGGTTGGCGGTCTTTCTGTAACCACGAGGCCTCCAAACCCCTTCCTTCCTGCTTGCTCCGTAAGGAACATCAACACCCAAGGAGAGACTGGCGGCAGGTGGTGTGAGTTCCATGCAGGGGCCTGGGCTGCAGGACGGGCTGTGAGCCTTTGGCCTCTAGGGGAAATAAATGCAAGGATGAGGTCTGGATCAGGTGGCCTCAGGACAGAGGGCAGCAAGGGAAGAGGGCCTCTGGCCAAACTGTGGAGAGTTCTGGCACTCACACCACAGGATGGTGAACCTGGAAAGAAGACAGGAGGACCTTTACTGTGTGTTTGTGTCCTGGCTGCCTCGCAGAAGGAAACATTTCAGAAAGGCTGGGGGTCATGTCCAATGCTGCTGAGAAGTCAAAATAAAGTGGGAACCGAAAATAGTATCATGAAGGTTCTAGTGATCCAACCAGGAGATACAAAGGTCTACACACGAAGGGCTCAGAATGGGTGAAGGCGAGTGTCGATCACTTCCCACCATGACCTCAGTGTCACCCCAGAGACCACAAGTTTCAGACCCTCTAGACTGGGGTCTCCAGAGCAGGGCGCATGCAAGACAATCCACAGAAACATGAGGAAAAAAATATCAGCACTTTTTATTCTGTTATAATCTGACCTTTTTACTATCTATTTCTTATTTACTATCCAGCCTACAATTAGTAATTAGTAAACCAGTGTATTTATATGTGTGTAGATACATGTTTTACACACACCCCTATATACTAACTTGCACATACTGGGAGAGGAGGCTCGGAACTTGTGTGCTCTCTGGAGTATCCAGGTAAGGGCTCCGGACTCCCCACTCTGAGCTTCAAAGACAGGACAGGTCGACACATCTGTGCTCTCGACCTCGAGATCTTCTGAACACATGCATTTCAGAAAGTGGGGTCATTTTAACTCAGATCTTGTAATTGAGGAAAAGGCCTTTCCTACCAGGGTACCACGCATAGGGAAAAACACTCCCGCCTGCCCAGGGGAGAGTGGCACTGAAGCAACTGGGCAGAGACAGACATGAAGCTGCAGTGAAACCCAGGTTGCCTCCACATCAGAATGTCACCAAACTGTCATCTCTTAGCACCCCAAACACTGTTGTATCGATTGCCCTCAAGATACCAAACGTCTACTCCCCACACTCAGTAGGAACTGGGAACACTGGTGTTCACTCAGTCTCACCGAGGTGGCTCCAACATGTGAGGAGCCCTTCCTCTGACAGACAGAGAGACCAGGGTTCTCTAGGCGCTGCCCAACAGAGTGGCCTTGGTCGGCTAACACGCTTACACCTCACACAGATGCAGAATGGACTTCATTACTTACTTGAAATTCATTTTCTTTCTGAGCTTGTTCGGATCCCTCTTTATTACAGGACCTCTATGAATGAGAAAAAGCAAACACTTCCGGTGAGATGGGGAACACTACGCAACCACCAGAACAGTCGGGGTTAACAAAACATCACAGATCTTTAACGAGTGTTTCTCAGCCCCCTGATGTCATCAGAAGCAGTCTAAAATGCACCACCAGTGTCCAGCACTAGTACAACACCCGAGGAACGCTTCATTTCTTTACAAGAAAAGGGATGAGCTGTTGAGACCAAATAGCTGTGACTCACAACCACTCGGGGATACCATTTCACAATTTCATTGTCTGAGGAAAGTCGGCAGAGGGCGCTCTTCCAATCAGGCCTTCTAAAGACAAGTAAATGGCAGGCTGAGTGGCACCAATTGAGCTAGGTGGGTCCTTCAAATCAGCACCATCCTGAGGAAGGCTTTCTTCCGGCAAGAGCAGGGAACGTCCAAACGCCTGTGGCAAGCGTGGGCAGCACAGAGTTTGGACAGGGAAGAAAGTCCTGTGCGGGCGGGCAACTTGGCACGGGGACAGCACAGTCAGGCCGCCAACTTGCCCCTTTCACAGACTAACCCTGCTCGTCAGCCTGTCGCTAACTCAATCTGAATTCTTCCTCCGCCAAAGAGAGGACTGTGTGAATTTAATCAAGTCCCTAAACTTATTTCAAATACTAACATACGAAGGGACACTTTGAGATCATTTTCCTCAATGAAATTGCAAATTGCTGGCCACCAGGACTCCAGCAGTAACAACGCCTCGCTCATTAGCTACCTTCTGCCAACTCTTTCGCCACTTGCTTTCTTCCTGGCACAGATCGCCTTTTAAAAGCAACCCCCACCCAACTGCCTTCAAAAACCTTCATGCTATCTTGAATCAGGGGCTGGGGGAAAGCAAATCAGAAACTTAATGTGTCATGTCAAAATTTTATACTCAAATATTGCCTCTAGAAAGATGCTGTTACCATTAAAGTCTGCTTACACCAGACAAAGAAGGAAGCCCGTAAAAAATTTTAAGGTGAAAGATTCTTGAACATCCCATGAAAAACATACCTTTCCATTCCACAGCTTTATCAAAACACCTGTACCAAGGGTGGAAAGTGTGGACAGGGGAAAAAAATGCCACGTTAAGCAACACCAGCTACTCTAGCACCATGCAAAAACCCTAGTGATTTAAATAAAGCAACCACTCTCATCCGTCATACACGGAAATAACATTCCACAAAAGTTTTAATGTGTTTCATATAAACAGTACATGTTCTAGCTTACTCATATAAAAGAAAACAAAATAAACATCCATGTTCATGAAGCTATCTGCAAAAAGACTTACTCTTAGGCATACAGTTAAGTAAATTTTGTACAAAGGACAGAAAGTACAAATGGGGTATATCATATTTTCATTTGTGTAATCTGTGTCTCTCTGATGAAAAGATGTTACAGGTTAAATCCCGTTACATTGAGAGCTACAAAATGAAAATACAACAGAAATACTTTTAGACCTTTGCCGATGGCTTGGTGGGTGATGTGATAAACCCTGGCGGGGAATAATTAGGGATCATGAAAGCTTTTCTCCTTCCTCAACTCTAGAATACGCTCATGGCTGCCCTGTTATCTTGTGTCTCCTCTCCCCATTGGCCCACAAGTTACTAATGAATAGAGAGGGACTTCATGTTTTGTTAGTCTTCCCCCAAAGCACCAAGAAAATCCTGGTGCTTACTGCCCTTTTCGACCAGCACTGAGTAAATGAACACTCGCATTGTGAAGCTCAAGGTGCGACCGAGGGTGACAGGGCCGACCGACTAGGACCGACCAGTGGCAAACTCACATTCATGATCCCAGTAGTGGAGAAACTGGCTATGGTGTTAATTAGAAAGCTGCAGGGGGCTGAATGCCCCCCCACACACACACACATTATATCCTTGTGCTTTTATTCCCCAAGGACAGTTAAGCACAAAAAAAGTTCTATAATCTGATATATTGTATATTGATACTTTGTAGGCAAAGCTTCAAGGCAAATAAGGAATTTGGATATCCTACTGAAATACGCTGTAACGGGATTTGACCTGTACAAAATTCCAAATGACTATGGTTATTCCTATGCTGTTATTATTCAAACTGTATCTTCTTAGGGAGATACAGTTAAATGGGTTATTTAGCCAACAGAAGTCCTTTTTCCTTGTCTAATGGTGCTCTCAAAAGCAAGTCACTTCATCTGAAGTTAGAACTGGCTTAGTTCCCAAGGCCATTCCTTTTCAACATATGAGTACCATTAAGTGAAAATAAATTCCGTTAATAATTTCCCCACCCTGCCCACTCCATTCCACCCCAAATGAGCACCATCATGAAGGCAAGACGGACTTCTGCCATAGCCAACCCTCTGTTCTGTTTCCTCAGTACAGAATGGTCAGGTGCCCTCAATCCTGTAAATAAGAAGAGTAAGACCAGAAAACTCTCAAACTGAGAAGGTGCTCATGAAAAGGGGAGAAGAGGCCTCCTCCTGAGGTGAGCCAAGAAGGGTGAGACTCACATAGCCAAAAAAGAGGGGGACAGAGAACGTTTTTGTCCAGGGAAGACAGGAAGTAAAATGTATCTTGGGATCTGTGGGATTTTACTTCAGAGGTACAAATTTATCTGAAGGAGATATGAAAATAAATTATGCAAATATTTAATATGACTCCAAATTGTTTGCCAACTTACTTGCATATTAATAAAAATTAGCTTTCCTAAGTTATAAAACTGAAAAAATTTTACACTTATTAGAAATTTGAACACTGACTATTTAATATTAAATAATTAAATTTTTTGATGTGAACATTATTGTGGTCATTTTTTAATAATCATCTTCTATAGATAGATTGAAACATTCATAGAAGAAATAATATGATGTCTGGAATTTGCTTCAGAATAACCCTGGAGAATGAACGATGGTAAAGATAAAAGAAAACTGGTCAGGGGCAAAGATGGATTTTGGGCACTTGAGGTTCATTATACTCTTATGGTCTACTTTGTATATATCTGAAATTCTCCATAATAAAATGTTTTGTAAAATAAACACTGAAATTCCAAGACATAAGAAGTCAGAATGCATCAAATATGCTTAAGACACTTTGAATATACTAAAATTCATTGAATTATACACTTTAAATGAATTGTATGGTATAAAGATGTTACAAAAACAACAAAAAAGACACCCAATGATAATTAAAAATATACTGCGACTGGCTTCCTTTCATTTTCCTCATTCTTTTCTTCCTACTTAGGGCTTGGTTTTTAAGAGAATCTGTAAGTAGTCATTACAATCCATGTATTCATTAGACTGTGATGTAGGTAATAAAATAAGTTAAAGTAGTAGCAATAATAAAGGAGGTATGGTTTATATTTTGTTTTTAAAATGATAGAATTTAAAAGCTGAAACAGATTTTAATTGGCCAAGAACTTTTAAATTTAAAGCCTAAGATCCCAAAAGCTTAAATTCTATTAGACAGGAAATAAGATGACAGAATAAAGGACTTTTGTTTTTTACTTTACATACGTCCATACTTTAAAAAGTGTTTAAAAGTACATGTTACTTTTATAATAAATATATTTGGTAAAGGTTTCAAATATTGCTTTTCTGAAAAACATCACATTTAAAGGCTCTTGGACTTAGAAAATCATGAAAAAAAGTAAATGTTTGTATTACAAGTTATTAGTTTTCAAAATACTCTATTTCATGACTTGAAAAGGTAAAAATCCATAGGTAGCAAGACAAATTTAGGGGCTAAGATGAGGGAATATCACTTGATTGAATTTTGTCGTATATTTTAGGATTCAAAAACATTCTACTTTTAAGTTACCTGATGTTCTATAGTCTAACCAGTTTATTTCTTTCAATTTGTTTAAGCGACTGGCAGAATAAGCGCTTATCATTGGCCAGTTCTTAATAAAAGGCTGCTTTAAAGATGACAAGGGAACATAGTGGGCTGTCGGAAAAGTCATGACGTAGTTTTCCTCTGTTTTCATTGCAAAAATGCGTCATGACTTTTCCGACAACCCAATAGTTTTTATAACCAAACCACTTTAATACAGCCACGTTTGTGAGATGAAACAGCGGCACCTGGGTTTTCCCTGAAGTCCCTATATGTGTGGCTGTGTACATGTAAGTTAGTCCAAGTGGCATGAAGTGGCATGCAGCTATTTAAATGTCACTTGCACCCTGAAACATTTATCTTCAAAGTATCTTTAAAGAGGCTGTGTGAGCTGCTTGGGGGACAGGCTGGGGAAAGTGCTGCAAAGAATGACATGTCATCACGCTATTTAAGAAATCAAATCAATTACAGATAATGTTATAATAAGGAAGTAGCATTGTGTTAAATGGTGGCTACAGAAGTAAAAAGATACAAATAAGAAGAGCGTTTCATAGAAACACCGGGGGACATTCTCTTCCTCCCACCAGCCTCTCCCCACCAAAAAAGAAGTAAATGTATTCTCTTTTAAAGGCTGTGGTTATATGAAAGAGGAGTTGGTGTGACCCTTTAAAAACGCTTTGGAATCCAGAGATGAGTGATTAAGAAAGAATAATCCAAATGTTAACTGGACTCAACTTCTAGGTCTTCTAAGACGCGGTCCAGGAAAATCTCCCCTCTCTCCAGCGACCTGGGATCCCTCAGGAGCCGAGCCCCGCGCCACTCCGTCCTCACCCTGAGTTCAACACGAGTTGCACTCTTCTGAACGCTCAGTGACTGTGACACTCATTTAGTCATGGGCTAAGTGACATGGGCTTATTTACTGTGCAGCCTGTGGCTCTGACGCCTTCTAAGATGCACCCTGGTTTCCGACCACACTCAATTAATTCTCTAGGGGAGAAAAGGTTCTCAACGCAGGGATGGCACCTGTCGCCATCTCTGTTAATGAGGGGACTATGTGCCATCTCTCTGGTGAGCCGGGGCAGGGAAAGTGTGGGAATCCTGACTCCACAGAACGTACAGCAGTCACGTGGCTCTTTCAATTACCATTTTGCAGTACGTTTCCTTCTCAGTTCCCAACCTTCCT